ATATATATTTATATATATACATATGATAAGTAATATAATCAATTAATGTGACAAGAAGTATATATAATAAATAAGAAGTGTCTGTATTGTTGTTATTATTATATATACGCGTAGCAACTATAAACTCTAATAAATTTGAAATGAACAAAGATTGATAAACAGATGCTCTCTAATTAATTGACACATAAAAAGACAAGATAAATATAAATATAATAAGTAATACAATATGATTAAATAATGTGTTAACGAAGAATTTGAAATGATAGATTAACTACGTATCACTGCAGATTCGAAATTAATCTCATGAATGGTAGCAGATACAAGATGGGAAAAGATCCCCTCGAAGAGCTTGAATTTGCAATTTCTATGCACAGAGAAATCATCTTTGGATCTTTTATAAAATTTTGTTTTTGGCTCTCTTATTTTCCACTACATGAAGCTGATGTCTGCGTCGATTGTGTAAGGGAAAATTCCAAGCAGACAGGCCAGTAAGGGGTTATGGTCAGTATCAAAACTGCTACACATCAATATTGACATGAGATTTGGCACTTTGTAAAATTACAAGAGTAATTAATTAATTAATTAACAAGCATTTATAAGTTATAATAAGAAAATTGAACATGACAGACAATCAATCATGGGCAACAAATTAATTAACAGCTTTCATATTATAATTTTTAATTGACCATGCATAATTCAAACAGTCATATATGTAGCTACTAGGAAAATTAAGAGGGTTATGCATGCTTGAAAAAAAGCTAGCTAACTCATTATTATAATTATTATATATGAAAATGGAAGGTGGGTTGCTGCATTGTTTGACTTTGTCGAGATGAAATATTAAAAAGAAAAAGGTAGATGGAGAGTTGATATATAGGGATTGCTTGGGAGTGAACATAATATACCAAATATGCTTAGTTAGGCTTTTTCTAAATATAGAGGTTTCTTGAAGGAACAAAAAATTTCCAAACGTGAGCAGCACCACTTTTTCCAAATATTGAAGGTGACACGAACAAGACAGCGTGACAGAAGAGGGGGGAAGGGGGGGCTTTTCTGACTGAGATTTGCTTCCCTTAACAAAACCAAACAAAAGCCAATAGGCTAAGAGAAAGGGAATATTATGACTCATAGAAAGAAGAAAGGAATAGTCAGATATATAGAGAGAGTCTTTTACATAAACTGAATGAATGAATGGATACCAACGATTAAAGTGACATCTCATTCTACTTCCTCATACAAGATTTTTAATTTGAGTCTTATATACTTAAAAAATATATTAAAAAGAGAGCTTACATAAAAAAGTGACCAGTCTAATAATTTTTTTATAAAAATTAATATCAACAAAATCAATAAATATATTTATATTAATAACATGATTAATAATAAAAATAATGAAAGAATAAGAAGGAACAAAAGAAACAAAACAGGGAAGGCTAGTGTAGTAGTGTGTGTATGGTATGGTATGGAATGAGTACACTGATCTGAGCTGAGCTGAGGCATAGCTTTACTGATCTGATCCTCCAAAGCAGCAGCAAAAGCTTTTGGTAGTTCACGCCTCGCTGTGCTGTGCTGTATGTGTAAAGAAACCCATCAGTTCGATGGGATTGGACGTATGCATGTTTCATCTGACACTAGACTTTGTATCATTCTGATTTTATTCATAATCATTTCTGCACTGCACCAACTCATATATACAATTAATGCAATAGTAATCAAATTTCATGGACTTCAGTTGCCCTATACAACTCTTTCTTACCTATCCAAGTGAAACTATATATTAATTCAATAGTGCTGATCGACTTGGTTTGTAATTTTTTTAAATAAAATTAATCATCTCCTGATTTTTATTTGTTAATTTGTTGTTTTTCAGTATTTATAAGAAAATGGCAAAAGTAGTTTTTACACAAATTTTAAAATAAAAAAGTATTTCTTTTTGTAATTATTGTAAACAATATATTCTCAAATAAAACATAATATAAGGGTTTTTTTAAGTTGAACTAATTATCTTGAGGTTGATTACACACAAAAAAAATATCTTGAGTTTGAATTCTTAAAAAGTCTTACTACATTTAATTTTATTTTGACAAAAAAAAAACTTTTGCCATTTATAATAGTGTTTTGCGTGCTGGATAAAATATTATGAAATTTTTATAACATTCATTTGTTCAAAAATTCAATCTATTATTAAAGAATCAATTATTATATTTTGTACTTATTTAAATTTTAATTATCATAAAAAGAATTCAATCGAATATTATAGTCTTAATTTGTTTTCAATCTAATCAATAATATTTTTTAAAACAAAAACCCTAAAAACTTAAAAAATAACTTTTCATAACAGAAAATTAAAACAAACTGAGTCGTGACTTTTCAATAAAAATATTATGTAAACAAGATTTTGATGCACCTTTTTCATGCAAGAGTTGTCATCTACATACATATGGATTGTCCTTCTCATTGATGGTCTTATTTTGTCCCTTTGTGGGAATAACCTGCGTTTGAACATGAAGAAAGGAAAAAGAAATACCACTACTCCTCAGATTTTCTGTTCAGAGAAGTGGTTTGGATTTGGATGAATATTGAATAATCAGTATTTTATGCCCCCATGTGTTTGTACTACCAGGGAGTTGCGCTTTCATCAATTGCATCTGTCTCACTTTTCTGCAACTATGTCCTTCCAACCTCGGCCTTGACAAAACAACACTGAAATGATAGATGCATTCATCAGAATCACTTGCCTTTTCTTTCTCACCCACCAAAAGATGCCAAGACACACACATACATCGATTAATTAATTAACCATACAAACCTAGTTCATACACAATTATCCTTAAATGTATGGCTTCTAAAAATAATAACTTTTCTTATTGGTGTAAAGTGACTTCACTTCGATGTGTACAACTGGTTTTTATCGCAGAACCAAGTTATTTTAGAAAAAAAAAAAAACAAAGGAGAAAGTAGATGCATAGTGAAATTCAAAGTGAATTTGGGATATTCATAGTATTGACATAAATTTTCACTAACGAGAATAGTACTTCATATTTGTTAAAACAAGTTAATAATCTCACTATAGTATATGTATGTGGTTAGAGGTTACACAAGTGAATTTGAATTTAAGTTGAGTTCTCATTTATTTGATTAAAAATATGATGAATGGAATATTTATAAAAATACTCGTTTAAGTTAAGATGGACATAAAGATCTAGATGAATAATAAATAAATAATAATTTTATTTTAATTTATATAATTATTTATATTGATCATATTAAACTTGGATTTAATGGACTTTATTCTTTAATTATCAATTAGACAATACGATTGTTGATTATGAGTTAATATTCTAATTTTGTCTTACCTCCGTTATTAGTCATATATGTTAATATATCCTAATAAATTTTCGATAATCTTATCTTTTTTGTCGACCAAAGATGTTGAGTCATTGTTTAGTACTTATATGAGTTGATAGAGATGTTTTTAACATATTCGTTGGTTAAAACTGCCTAAATACAATTGATTGTTCATATAATTTGATAGAGTGTGTTTGATATCTTTAATAGTTGAAAATGTCGAAATATCTTTTGAAGATTAAGTGTTTGAAGGTTATGATTACGAATGTTTCAATATTATTGTCTTAGATTCAAACTGACTTATCTAATCTCAGAAACTAACTATAATGACTTAAACATGTGTCTCCTAGTTTTCTTTTAGTACAATATATATATATA